GTCCTTAGGGACTAGTAAAGCGCTATATAAATACAGGCCATTTACCATTTTTACTGTTTGGACGTGTGTGAGCTGGAGTGTGAGTGAGCCTTCCCTTTCTCGGACCTCCCTTTGGCCCTTGGAACCCTGGATTACCCCACTGTATATATTCTGCACCTGGTGATTGTGTGAATAAAACCGGTTTTTGAACTGAATCCTGCTCTGACCTGAGTCCCCGCGATCACACGTGACAGTCCCAGTATACAACAAGCTGCATACAAACCGTTTTTGTGTTTCCTGATATTTGTTCTTGGTAATGGTAAATGGAGGCATTATTATATAGTGCTTTTTCGTGCTATCTAAGCATTCAAAGTGCTTTACAAAAATATTTTTTTTTCCTTTCTCATTTTTTAAAAATCTGAATATCTACAGCGTTTTCTGTCTAACATTCACACACATTCATATTCTGATGGAGGCACTGGAGAAAAACTTGGGGTCAATATCTTCCCCAAAACAATAACCTGCATGCCCAATATTTGGCAAGCAGGCTGAAGCAGCCAGGGATTAAAAACACTGACCTTCTAATCAGCAGAGGACTTTCTACACCCCCTAAGCTACCCCAAATGTTCTGCTAATAGAAATTAAGGATTTAAAAATACCTGGAAAGGAGAGCTCCATCTTGAATGTGTTTCAGCTCCTAAACTCTGAGCTAGCGAAACAAGCTGATGAATTAGCATTTCACCCTCTCTTTTAAATTTAGCCACTTTGGCCTCTGAATGGCCTCAAACTGAGGTCCGGATTCCCGTCACAGAGTGCAAACTGTTCTGTCACTGAGTGCTGGAGGCCATTGAAGCCTCGTGGAACATTTCATCAGTGAAAATCAGGGATTTGATTATGAGGTCAGAGAGACTGACAAATCCTTTCTTTGTTTAGGTTTCCATCCAACAGGAACTACTCTGAATATGTACAACAAACATAAAAGTGAAAACCATTGTGTGCAGTTGCAGTACTTTCTTGGTCCAACCTGTGATGAAGTATTATGGACCACATTAAAAAAATATTAATCATTTTGAGAATACATTCATGGGGCAGCACGGTGGCACGGTGGTTAGCACTGTTGCCGCACAGCAAGAAGGTCCTGAGTTCAATTCCACCATCAGGCCAGGGTCTTTCTGTGTGGAGTTTGCATGTTCTCCCCGTGTTTGCATGGGTTCCCTCCGGGTACTCCGGCTTCCTCCCACTGTCCAAAGACATGCAGCTTGTTGGGGACAGGTTAATTGGTTAATCCAAATTGCCACTAGGTGTGAATGTGTGATTGAAAGTGAGTGCGAATGGTTGTCTGTCTCTGTGTGTTGGCTCTGCGACAGACTGGCGACCTGTCCAGGGTGTACCCCGCCTCTCGCCCTATGACAGCTGGGATAGGCTCCAGTGCCCCCCGCGACCCTGAAAAAGGATAAGCGGAAGCGAATGGATGGATGGAGAATACATTCAATATGTGAAGATTATAGTTGTGTTTTCAGACAAACTGCCACGATTGCTAGAACCTCTGAGCTAGTGATTTCAGAATCAGATTTAGTCATAGGGATGGAACTGGTCTCTTTTTGTTAGTGCACAAACACAGTGTGGTGATGTGGTGGTGTGGTATAAGAACTTTGAAAAGATTGTGTTGAAAGATGCATGTGGAGATTTGTATAAAATGAAATGGCTGGCAGTAGATAGATAAAGGGTTATCGATGGTTACACCCTTGTGCTATAAAGAGGATGTATGTTGTATCACAAGATGACTGATCAATTGGTTTCACTAAGTTTTGTAGAGAGTATAGCAGCTGTGGCAGAAATATCTCATCCTTTTTTCTCAAAATTGAATTTTAACTTGTTTCTGGAAATAGAATTACAACTTCAATCTCACCGCCATTATTTAAAAATCCCTGAAAAATCTGTACTCTGTTCTCCATTAAAATCCCATTTTAGTTCAGGAGTAACATCATTAAATTTGCTTAAATTTGTTTGAGCACATCAAAACAACTTTCCACTCACCAATTTATTGTTTCCTGTTAAAGGGAACAGCCTCTGTTTCATTTGTTTATCTGCTCCAGGGCATCAATAACAACAAACCCAGCCCCATCATATAGTACGTAAGGTATACTGTAACACCTGATCAATACACGAGAATCTTACAAACAGCTGCTGAACCTGAAGGTGACACTCATTCAATGATTCTGATTCCATAACATACAAGACACTGAATTCATTAATACTGAGGGGGAGCAAACAGTTATTTTTTTCTAAACATCAGTGGAAGTTGAGCTTTGAGTCAAACTAAAAACCTTCTCTAAAATAAAAATACCAATATATTTTACGATTTTCTAACTTTTCTTTTCTTGAAAACATGAACAAACACATACAAACAAGATCTAAATAAAAAGAACGTAACATGTTACACTGAGATGATCAGCTGACTTGGACAGTTTTGGTGACCTCAACTTGTGTTCTTCTTGGTTTTATAATCACTTTTTTTCCGTCTTACTTCAGGCAAAGTGAAAATATTGTGGGCATGATGTTCACCGCTCTGTTATTTCAGCCCAAGTATTTATCAAACCATCGTCCATCCTGGAAAAACTCTTTGGACTCTTCTGGTTTTTTACTTGGATGTTATCGTTTTAGTCTCTACAGTCACAGATTATCCTTATGTTTGTTTTAGCAATGCAGGCTTCTCTGATTCTGTGTGAATAGCTGAGCCATTTCCATGCTGCAGTTCATCAGGAGGCTGGTATGGATGCTGACTCTGTTTTGGTTTTTTACATTTTCTGTATATCAAAAAACCAACAACAGCAGCAACAAGAAGCAGAGCAGAAACAC